AGGTTTTGAATTTAAATGATTATTCAACACATGAAATTTGCACTTTGGATTTGAAAAATTCTTCGAAAAAAAATATGTGCGGAGAAAACTGACCTCGATATTTCAGTTTTTTTAAGCTCAGTTTTGCGGACGACTTGTCAATATATTTTGGTTAGAACCGGTTAACTTACAACTTGAAGCCGTTTTTATATATTTTGACGTTCAGTTTCAACCAGTTATTCTGTTTTTGTTGACCATTTTGGTATAAAAAATGTTTTAAGACCACTTAAAAACACAGGCTTTTTCCACAACGAAAATGAGGCGAAATTGTGCATTTTGTAAATTGTAAGCGGATTCCGCAACAAGGACGCTTACTTTTTTCTTTTTTTGTTCGTTTTTGTTCTTTTTTTTATTGTTCCGACAAAATTTTAACATGTTTATAGACTTGTCTCTGGAATCCAGGAACATACAGACGCAAAATTAATCATTGAGTGATTGAAACAAGTATTTTGTGACTGATTAATCAGTGTAAATGATCACGTTCCTTGACCTTCAATGAAAAACAAACGAACAAAGAAGCACAGAACATTCCGACCATAGTCTTAAAAAATTCCAGAAAAAATTATTTTTTATTGCGAATTAGTGTCAATTTTTGTTTGTGGTGTCATAGAAAGATCTGAACGAATTATTAAATTCTGGTCATATTTGAATATAATTGGAACAGTTTGTTCGAAACATCCAAAAATTTTTCATGTCTAAATTTTTGATTCACATGGATTTTTGAAAGTTTTGATTCACAAACTGACGCTGAAGAACTGCAAACGTTATTTTTAATTAAATGAACTAAGTTTTTGCGGTTTATTTTGATCATAAATAAGCTATTTTAGGCCTGCACGCTCACCTAATTTGCTTGAAATCAGACCAAAAATCATAAATTTCAAAATTGGTTTTTCTCAAAACTGAAAAAAAGGTTCGAAATTTTTTATTGCCGTTCATAACATGACTGATGTGAGATATCAGTAATGTGATATATCATTCGACCCATTTAAAATTGCAGTGAATAAAAAACTAAAAATGCCCGAATTTACAGTTCATAACAATAAAAATAACAAAATTCAAGAAAACCGACTTAGTTAGAAAAACACCAGGCAAAAATACTACCTCAAACGAGTTTGAAGGAGCACCAGTCAACGCTTAAAACGAGTTTCAAGAGGCAGCTGTCAATTTCAACTTAATCTCCAATTAATTTATAAATGTAATATATAAATCTCTTTTGATAGCTCTATCAGCAGCGTGCCGAGGGTCGGCGGGGTTCGACCGCCCCCCTAAATTGTGGCTGCCACATTTTTCCATAGGGTCCGCTTTTTGGTATAATTTTACGACTCACTTTTGACTGGCCAGTATCAAAATTTTCTTGAGGCTTTTTCGGCGCCAGCTTAACTAATCTTGAGAGGGGATCGCACGCCAAAAAAAGCTCAATTTTCTAGTCAAGTAATTTTAAAAGTGCTCAAAACTTCATTTTTAACCTACTTTTTGCGCCTTTCTTAGCCTAGAACCGTTGGATAAATTTAATTTACTTTTGTATATAAAAATCAAAAAACTATTATGATCTTTGGTTTTTAAAGTTATAGGCTAGAAAATAACTGTTAATAACTTTATTAAAGTTAAAAACTAATTATACAAACTATGACACAAATTTTTTCAAAGAGTCGTATAATTCAAAAAAAAAAAAATTTTTGAAAAAGTTATTTTTCAACACCGAGAAATTTTTTGATTATTTTTTTAGTCAAAGCTAACAAGCTGTGAATTGAATTAGTTGAGATATAATTTGAATTTGCTTTCCAGCCAAGTAAGTATTCAATCAATTTTTTTTATTTTTTTTCATAGTGTTTCTACTTCATTGAAGAAGAATGAAATGAGCTCAAAATGGAAAATTGGTTATTGAAATAGCTTTGGGATTTTGAAAATGCTTTGAAAGCTGTGACTGAATTAAATAAAAAATGATATACTTATAAAATGTCAGTTTAATCCACGCTTTTTAAGAGTCTGATTTGAACAAAAAAAAACTTTTTGAGAAGCGAAAAAATTATAGAAAGTCATAATTCAGCAAAACACTAACAGCAACTCTACAAGAATGGCCGGAACGAGAATTCTTATATCAAATATCAAAATTATCGAATTAATTTTTATTGAATGCACATTTTAAGTTACCAATTCATATTAAATTTTTTTTCGCATGAAGTAAGCATCAGCATAGATATTTTGCCTTGTATAATTTGACACGGCAGTTTGTATGTTATTTAAAATAAAAACTAATGCCGATTTTGATAATTTGAAAACTGTTTTTCTTTTTTTCTTTAAGCGCAAGGAGCAGATCTTTAGCTTGAGTTTGCCCAAAACTGAAAAAATTGCGGTTATTACGCAAATCAGCTCTGTTTGTCCCGACTGTCCAAAAAAGTAAGTGTGGAATATTTTTACTGGGCTGGTTTTTTTTTGTCAATTTTTGACTGTTTAACTGACTTGTTTGACGGAATGTTTTACAGAATTTTTCCTGAGATTATATTTTTAAAGATTTTTTACGATCACTTTCACTAATTTTACGAGGGTTTTAAGATTGCCATTGTTACCAATTCGGGATAATTAACGCGCGATATATTTTGTGTTTTTAGCGCCTAAGTGGAGATGTAACCTGTATCAAAAATTCTTCAAAATTGGAATGAAGCGTGCTAAAAAATATCATTTTGATCTTTACCCTGCGTGTGGGGCGATGAATTCTAAAAAAACACCAAAAATTCCTTCATTGTTTCTTCATCATGAATTAGTTTAGCTTAAGTACTCTTTAGAAAAAAAAACACAGTCGAAATATTCAGCGCTCCTCTCTTATACAAGCAGTTTTGTTCTTTTTGTCCCGGCTTTCGAAGAAAGAGCAGAATATTTAGGCTTGTGGTGGTGTATTTTTATTGAGTCATTTTTCGACTTTTCAACTATCATTTTTGACAGAGTTTTTTCGACCATATGAATCTCTATCAATTGAAAAGTATTGTTCCCTTACGCTCAAATTTAGAAAGTAATTTTGTGCTGTGATCTCTTTTTTTTTCGTAAAGTTTTGGGCCTTTGAAGTTGCTTATTTGGACAATTTTTTTTGCGAGATAGTTTGCATCGACAACACGGGTAAGCGGCAAATTATTGCGTTGCAAATTAGACTACGAAAGTAGTTTGGTCATTGCTTTATGATACAAGACGCTAAAAACATCCTTTTGAAGTGTAAATTTGCTTTTGGGGTGATAAATTGAAGAAAATAAGAAAAATGTATTCTTTTCTTTTCGATTACTCATCAATTTTCAATCAAAAGTTTTTTCAATTTTTTCCAAGTGCAGTCGGAGCAAACAGGGTTTTGCACTGGTATACGAGCAATTTTGTAATTCCGACTTCTGAAATCAACGGAACATTTATGTTTAGGGTGTATTTTTATTCATACAAAAATACACCCAATACACTTTCAATATGGAATAAGGGGCACTCGGAACATTCAGGGCTTTGCTCTGTTATACGAGCAGTCTTGTTTATTTCTGTGACTGTTTCTCCGTTCACCACTGAAGTTGCAAAAACTAGCCAGGGAATCTTCTTCCAAAAATTCAGTTCACACAAAAATGTTGTTTGCAATATTTGGTAATTCTGAAAGAGTAAAATAGCATCCTAAATTAAACAGCCCAAAATTTCTACCTCTATATCGTCCATTTCAAAAACTTGAAACGTTTCCGATAGCACACCAATTGTTTTTGCCAAGTTCTGACGACATGGTGCTTTTTAAGACAGGAGTATTTAGATGCTGCAGATTCAGCACAGACAAAATCGAGCAAATCCACATGTGAAGGAAAGTTCGAAACCGACCTTTTGAAAGATATTTGTCACGTTCATTTGATATCTGCATGGTTGATTTTATGTTTCCAAAAAATCTACAAATGGTTTAAATGAAAAATTAAATTTCAGACTTGAGTTTGCCAAAAAAAAACTCAGAAATGAATAACTGATAATTCAGCTTAGTAATTTAGAAAAGTTTATAGGTCCAAGGAACGAAGGCAAATTCATCACTTTTAGTTGATTGCGTGATAAGCTCTTCAGACATTCAGCTAAAAGTGATCAATTTGCTCTCATCCCTTGCTCTCGCTCCTAAAAGAAATTTTAAACGTATTAATGCTTAAGTATTAGTGATGCAGCTCTGAGCCATCCTGACACACTTTACGTCATAGTTCCTTCCTAACCAGATTCGCTGACGCGGTCGGAACAATTGGAGATACGTCAGCATTCCTCCTCGATGAGTATTTGTCTGCACTACCAGTTTAGGAACAAATGAACCTTGGCAGAGAAGAGAGCATCATGAATTTTCTTTTTATTGAGATTTTTTTGCTGAACTTTATGTGAAGCTCTCAGCATTTCTAGAATATGCTGCAAAATGGCCGTTTCGTTTTAACGTTACAAGTCGGTTCTAGGGTTTTGTTTGTTTTCGAGTAATCATAGTCAATTTTTGAGTTATGAGTACTAAAGACCTTTAGTTTTAGATGGATGTGTTTTCTCGCAGAACCTATTGCCAAGAAAAAAAATGGAATTCAATAATGTTACATTTTGAAACCATTTCATTCGTAACCCGAATTGCAAAAAAATCTGTCTCGATAACGACTTGAAGTTATCGATTCTTACAGTAGCTATTGTTGCCGATCGTTCAATCGAAAATTTTCAAGCAAGCATATCACGTTTTCAAATTTAAATGTATTTCAAAAAAATCATAGAGCTACAAAATTAGCCATTTTAAAATTTTTTGTCTATATTTTTACAAAAATAGGTTTGGCCAATAGGTGGTACATCATTGATTGCTGACTACTCTTGCTAATCTCCCTGAATTTTGGAAGTGGATTCTTTATATGTAGAAGCTCAAACTGCAAAACACATTTTTCATGTTAATTCAACCTTCGCTTTAGACTTTAATGCGATTTGTCTTTTATACGACTTGACTTTCGATTTAGAGTAGATAGTCAACCAGGGACCGAATCACTCCTCGTAAAAATTCACCTTGAAGTAGCCAGGCAACGTGTACCTCAAATAGAACAATTCTACCATGTAAGCTGATATGAAAAAAAACTCCTGCCTCCGAGGAATTTTCTGCCCATACGATAGCAACGAAGGTAACAGAGTGCTTCAATTTATCGAAAGTTTTTTTTTCAAGGCAGGCTTTGACTGTTTGACTATTCAATGATCAGCATTATTTTTGATCAGAAACTAATTGATTACAGAACTGCTAGATGAAATTATTCAAAAAAGTTACTGTACAAGTAACAGATTTAAACAACCAAAAGTAAGATGCAAGGCTCTTTTTTTGTCCCTGCCTCCACTTTTATTAGTGATTTTTTTGTTCACAATGTCCGATTGTTACAAAAAATGATAAGAGGACTAATTAGGCCATGAAAAACATATTTGGTCATCATACTAAACACATTGTATTATACTTCGTACCGCCTTAAGATTGATGTTTACGCGAGGTGGGGGGGGGGGGGGGGGGGGGGGGGGGTTGTTGGAAAAATAGCTAGATCCGACAATGTCATACAAGTTCACTTATTAATATTTAATATTATTGTTTAGAAATATCGAGCAAGAATGGTCGTCGACGACACCAGGAATGCAGTGTTCACCATGGGTCATCAACCTCCACAAACAACAACAATAACAACAACAGCAGCAGCAGCAACAACAACAACAACAACAACATCAACAACAACAACACACCAACAAACAACGCCAGCCATAATCTAGACTACCCTAGGGTGAACGATAACCCACACTCCACACTCGAGGGCCATGACGATGACACATCAGACGTGGAATTGCATAGCCATAGTATGGACACACTTCCTCAAAATGACCAATCATCTTTCGGGTATTTGCTTGACATTTTGAATTATTCACCAACAGAGACTATTTATTAGTCGATGTTCTGTACGCAGCCTTTTAAACAACTTGTAATATGAAATTCAGCACGATTCTTATGTAGAACTCGCAGTCTACAAAGCTTGTGTAAAAATTTCTAGTTTTTTGAAAAGCATTTCTTTCTACCCTTGCTTAAATATTATAATTTTTTTCTTAGAGTTGGACGATGAAAAAAATACCAATCGGTTTTTCAAATGAATTTCAAAGAAAATTTCTATGCTTATTGTGTGTTGCGGATAGAAACTAGAAATAAAACGCGCATTAGGTGGCCTTCGCAAATTGCGTCGAATAGAAATGATTAGAAGAGAATCAGTTAAAATACTTTTGAACTTGAGTTCCAGGTTAATCGATTCAACTTTAAACGTGCTTTAAAAAGCTGCCCAAAATCTGTTTTTGTTCTGAATTTTGACAAATGTGCTGTATTATTTGTGCTCGGTGAGTTTTTTCTTCAGACTATATTTCACTATTCAACTACCCATGTTTGGAAGGAAAACTCAATTTGTTAGAAGTCAATTAGTGTCTTGAGCTCAAAAATAAAAAGATATTTCACTAATGAAGTTATGGGGCTTGGGATAACGAAGGCGCGATATATTTCGTGGTACTAATGCAAAAGCGCCTTTTTATATTGGCTCAGACATTGCTTTAATTTTTTTAAGGCACGCCAAAAATTACTTCAAGTATATATCAAATTCTTTGCATCGATACGAGCATTCTTTTCATGTATTTCTACTCTAATTGCAACACAAAACGATCTAATGAAAAAAAAATTTGTTTAATTAAAAATTGATGAAAAAACATATGAATGAAATTTCATAAAACCTAACTAAAAATTATGACAAGACAAAATATTGCGTTGTTCTGTTGTTCTGCCAAAATAATAATTGTTCCGACTATCGTATCGAAAGTAATGGAGTATTTGTGCTCGGGGTGGTTTTTTTTTTCAGACAAAATTCGACTTTTATCTAGCCATTTTTGACGGAATTTTTTTCTTTATCATTCAAAAGGTATTGTTGTTTTAAGCTTAAATTTGAAAAGATATTTTACCTGTGATCAAGTTTTTTCAAGTTATGGGGTTTTAAATGTTGCCATTTTGGATGATTCGGGAATATTAACGCGCGATATACTTCGCACTATTAACGCGTAAGCGGAGAATTAATCCGTCTTAGAATTCGTTTCAAATTGGTTGAAGGAAGTTTTTTTACGATAATTGATTTGTGACTAGAAGCAAAATTTGTCATTTTGTACTTTATATGGCGTGCGGGGGGATGGTTTTCACAAAAATTCTCAAGGTTAAAACTTTTTTGTTTTGTGTTTTTACAATTAATTTTTTCATATTTTTGCTGCTCCACAGACCTTAAAAGGCAGTCGAAGCATTCGGGGCACTTTCGATTTAACTAATTTCAACCAATAGGGTTCAAGTACTTTGAAAAAATTTTTAAATAGTAACAAGCCCTGCATGTTTCGTCTGTTTTTTAAGGTCGTAGGGGCAGTAATAACATGAAAAAAAATAAATGTAATAAATTAATTGAAAAAAAAAATTTAAGAAATTTTAGGGTTTTTTTTTGTTAAAATCATTTCCTTACAAGCCATATAAAGTTCAAAGTGACAGAATTTGCTAAGAGGAATTAAATATCCGCTTACGCTATAATAGCGCGGAATATATTGGGCTAAATTGTCCGAAAATGGCCCAATTGGCAACCTTTAAAACCCCATAACTTCACAAAAATTGTTCACAGGAAAAATAAATTTAAGCTCGGGACAACAATACTTTTTGTCATAAAAACAATTTTTATCAAAAATGGCTAGTTAAAAAGTCGAAATTTGTCTGAAGATAAAACTCACACCAAATATTCCGTTACCCCCATTACCAGAAAAGGCCCAATTATATTATCATCTGTTTTTTTTTATATTGTTGCATTTGAAAATTAGCGTTTTGGACTAAATATTTTGAACTTAGGTCCTTTTTTAATTACATGTTTTTGTTGTTATTTGTTATTTACGCAATAATTTTATAAATATCTGTTGAGAGTTCAAGTAGCGAATAAAAGTTCGAAGCCAAATTTTGGATGCCGTTCAATCCAATTAATTCTCGTATTAAGTATATCCGTATCTGGGAAAAATCCTGAATGTTTCTAATGTCATTTAGGAGCGATAAAATGTGCTGAGCGAAAAGCTTGATAAAATGTTAGAGATAATTGAAAAAAAGTTAGTTTTCATTTCTTTTTCTTTTCATATTTTCATAAAACGATATTTTTGTAGTTTCAAAGTAGAATGATTAGAAATGCAGTTTTCATTTTTATACCACTTGAAAAAATATTGCTCGGTCGTTATCTCAAGTTGAATTTAACAGTACTATTTTGCAGTAGTCAAATTAGTCCTAAAAACAATCCCCCCTAACTTTCGATCAAATGGTCATTTATACAGTTTTTTTATCCTGGTTATTGAACATGAACGTTCTTCAGAATGACAAAAAAAATCCACAAAAAATGCCTGGTTGAAAAACCATCAAGAGTCCTTCAAAAATTGATTTTAGGTGGAAAACAACTGGAAAAAAACCTAAAAACCCGAGGAAGGCGAAAACGACCGATCGAATGACCAGCAGAAAAAAAAACAATACACAAACTCCAATTTTTATTTGAAACAGAACATTTTTCACCATTTTGAAATTTTTAAAATGTAAGTTAGCAGCCACGCCAAGGAGTGATTAATTCTCAGACTGCTCAATATGCAATCGAAATGACGTGAAAATACCTTCAAACCGCGGTCAAATCAAGCAAGCAAATGTTGTATGTACCTAAATTGACATTTATAAAAAAATTTTGAAGATAAAAATGGAACGTTTTTGCCAGTAATGTGATTATTGGACAAATTTTTGTCCATCAAAAAATGTCTTTTATTGTACAACTTTTCTCAGGTTTTTAATTAACAATGCTTAATCTTTGCTCGTTTTTTTCATTCATGAATTGGTTTTCTTCAGCACTCAAAGGGTTCCCACTATGGTTCTATTTTACGGCACCCAATTTTGATCGACTGACCATTATATTTTTGAAAGGTGATATGGGCGCCAAATTTTTAAGAATTTGATATTTTTATAAATTGATTTTCTGAATTCATGCAATATAATAAAAAAATCTAATTTCAGAAAATTTTTATATGCCGGAGGGTAGGTTTTAGGACTGAAAAAAATTTTCCCCAATTTTTGTAGCTTAAAAGTCACAGGAATCAAGCTTTTGTTATCTCTCTGGTAAACAAGCCAAAACTAAGAAAGTTGACTCATTGAGCCATGATTTGATGTAAAATCAAAAATCAATTACATTCTTTTGGCGCAAAAAAGCCGATCAGCGGAACACAGCACTCAATCAGCTGAACACAGCATATGCAAGGGCTGGGGCGGATCTACAATTTTCTCGAGGGAGGTGCGGATTTTCAAAATGTTTTAGAAAAATTTTGTCGACCTTTTTTTGTAGGTCGACCGAATTGATTTTTTGAGCTCTCCCTAAGCACGATTTAGTTCCTGTTTTGGCGCAGGCAAACATGTGAAAAAACAGCCCAAAAAGGCGTTTTTAGGCACTTTTTGGAAAATTTTGACCCCCTCAAAATTAGTATTTATTGGCGCCTAAGGCGCCTTTAGAAAAATTTTAGGGTCGGTCGGCCAAAAATGGATTTCTTAAAAAATATCAAAGATGGGACCCTTTGGGTCAGCAGGTGGTCAAATCTCTGAGAGGGGAGGGCGTCCGCCACCCCCCCCCCCCTAAATCCGCCCCTGTGCAACGGTAAAGAAAGAAAACAATCCCCTTTTTTGGAAACTTTCGGGGAATTTTCCTCAAACATTTTTGTTCATAGTTTGGGAAAATCCTACAAAATAGCAATTCAATACAGTTTTTCAATCCATATACGGTACTGCATAAAAAACGTTCTCTGGAACTGTTTTAGAAAGTTTGGATTGTCATTTCAAAACTGTATGGTACTGACAATTACTACATGCTGATACTGTTCTGAATTTTCCTCGGAAGCTCGGAATGTTCTTCTTCTTTTTGGACCACTATTTTCAGCAGAAAACTCGGGTGCAACTTCATGAATACTAAGAAAACAAAGGTAGAATTGAAAAAAAAGAAGAATAGTTGAACCTGAAATAAAACTTTTACATGGACGAATACATTCACGCAACATCTTCACCCAACGACTCACTGCATTCAGCCTCGCAAAGGAAGATACCAAAGCCACAATAAGAGTTTCAGGACAAAACGAAATACGACAAAAACAACCTCTAGATGGAGTCTCTAAAAGCAATAAGTGGGATGCCTACTGATAGTCACAATGGAAGCTCTGCAACCTGGTGTCCTTAATTTTTGATCCATTGGGAATATTAGCAACAGTGAAACAGTGACCATTTTTCAAAGCAACGACGAGTTTATGCAATTTCTGGGACTCATTACTACCCGCTAACAGTCAAAAAGAATTACAAAAACTATTGAACCTCTTTTTGCCAACGAAACCTGTCTTTCTTCCTTGGACACTTTTCAAACGGCTTTAATTAAAACGAGATAGAAATAAAACTTTATACGTTTACAAACCCATCGTTGATAGGAATATCAGTTGTCGTATACATAAGAGTTGAAACATCAAGCAGAAAAAATGGAAACTCATTATATAAGAAGCAAAAGCCAAGTAGCTCCAATAGCAGCTCAGTTGTCTTAACATAGAGCTTGAAGCAGCAATTATTAGATTTGGCTTAGTCAAATTTGCTAAGATGCAACTTCAGCCAAACTTTGATTCTGGCTTACTTCGTCTAGCCGAAACAAACGTTCCGCAACAAAACAGCGGCCGGCACCATATATCAATTGATCTGATTCCTGCTGATCATGGCACCGAAGGATTAAGTCCGATCGACGTTAAATTTAGTTGGCTACCAGCCCCCATTGTTTCTGAAGTTGCAATCAGCTTAAAGGCCAGTGAAGTCTCGCGTACAGATACTTATAGCATGATTATGATTGGCACAGTTTCTGCATTTCGGCAGTATTTTTTGGTACCTCCAGTCTTTGACATCAATTTTTTTCGTCGCGGAACGAACTTTTGATGACCATCGCCTCAGTTTTTACGCAAAACTAACATCAACGTGGGAGAACGACCTAGGTTACAACGACAAAAATTGACGTGAACTACAACATTCACCTAGCATTTTTATAGAATATGCGCAATTAAATCATCATAACAGCACAGCCAGAACCTCTTGGTGAAACAATGAAACATCTGCAACGAAATCGACTCCTCGACAAAAAAACTGGTTCAACCCAACCCATACCTACTCCAGAAAGAAACTTTTCGTTCTCGCAGTAGATTTGAATTTGCTCCAACCACTGGAATTGAACAACATTACCCAATTATTGTAACAGTAGCTCAATCAACATTGAAAATCCATCTACAGTACGCGCACCACGTTTGAATGAATCAATGACAAGACTTTGTCCAGTTGTTCGTGCAGCAGTGCTACCTCGTCATTGGGATAGGACACGCTCTTCGTTCAATCTCACAAACAAAGCAGACTACCTCCATCCACCCTACTTAAATCCTCTTTCTCATTCACCAACACGAGCGTTGATTTTTTTGGCCCCTTCTACATTGAAAACGAACCAGAAATAGAAAAACAATAAGGGATTTTTTAAATCATTTAGAACTTGAGCAGTTCACGTTAAAAACTGTACAGATCTGATCACTGCACAACTGATCAAAGCAATGAGTCGGTTTTCAGCTTGATGGGGAACTCTAAAAAAACTCATCGGCGACAACTGAAAAACGTTTGTTGGAGCTTCCAAAAAATTGAAGGACGCTCTAAAAAAATGAAAATGGAGCATACATTTTGAAAATTCAACGGTAAAACACCCAATGGTTCCTTAGTTCCCTATAATGTCCTCATTCTGGTGGGACTTGGTAACACTTGATTCAGTTTCCCAAGAAAACAATCTTCATCATTTTTGGATCGCAAAAGCGCACGCTTGATGTTTTTCGTACAATTTTACCGAAATCAAAGACACTTGGCAACTAGACAACCGAGTTTGAGACCTCTGACCATTTCACCGGACCACTCAGAAAATGATGAGCCATATACACCAAATCCTTTTCTCATTCAGCGAACCTTCAGCTGCCTTCCACCAAGAGTATTCGACGACAGTTTGTCCTTGACATACAATAGACGGACTCACAACCGATAAACTAACAGATGTTGAGCCACCTGTGGAAACGGCCGATGAAGGAGTACATAACTTCCCTAATGAAACGCTCAAAGTAGAACAAAATGCAGTTCCCACTGAAGATTGTTGACACCATTTGTACTTAAAAGTCTCAAGCCACAAGGTATATGGCTGGTTTGATGTGTGGTGGAAGAACATCCAGGGAAAGATGGCACAAGACGAGTGGTGACAGTGTGAACAAGTTACGGCGCATTCGACCGCCCCTTTACCGCTATTGTTAAGTTATTTAATTTTTTTGCAACGTCTTTTTGCGCCGTTTCCAGATGATTCGGGGCCCCGGGAGTATGTTGCCTAGGAATTAAATTTCTCAATCTTTGTAAAATTAACCTCACCGTTATCAAAATTTTGTAAACCCTTCGATATAATCACTCGGGAAACAAACCAGAACTAAGAAAGTTGACTCTTGGAGCCAATTTTTGATGTAAACTGAGAGCCAATTACTCAACATTTTTGGAACAATTAGGCAAAGTAATTTCTTTTTTTTCGAAGCGCACTCCTTGCTAAATTTTGGCTAACTTGGAAAATGGATGTAGCAAAAATGTAACAAAAGAAAGGTTTTTTGGGTGGCCTGTATACCAGTCAATTTTCTAATTGGGTAGAATTCGACGCCCTTCAAAATAACGTCTTTTCGCGTTTTAGAACATGCTCAATTTGGGTTTTAAGCTGACTGAGCTAGTTTTGATACAAGCTTTTTGATAAATGTGTTGAAAACAACATAAAATTGCCAACATTCACTATGACCGATTTTTAGTCCAGCAGCTCTTAATTGAGAGCAGAGCAATTTATTTGTCTTTATATTTTTTTTCTTTTATTTTTGATTAATTTTAGTTAGCCGTTTTAGAGTGAAAAGACAACAACAAAAGTTGAGCACCAGATCAATGATATCGAATTGATCAAATGTGCAGTGTATGAAACCTCAAAACTTTACAGCAAAAAGTTGAAATCAGTCATAATCTTGGCAAAAACATTCAGTTCGAGGAAAAACTGAGCACAATAAGGCCCGAGAACCCGAGGCCTAAAAACTGAGAACTCGAGATAATTATTCAATAGTTCTCAGCAACAACAAAACAAAAATGAAAAAACTGTTGTACTTGAATTCACTTTTTTTGCTTTTTTTATTGTTCCGACTTTCGAAGAATTTTTTGTAATTCAGTCAATTTCGGCGATCAAAGTGATAGTTTTTAAGAACAAACTGTTTTACCCCATTGATGATATCGACTCCATGAATTAAATCGTTAGAAGATATTTTTACCTCCGATCGTTTTTCGCAAAGTTAAGCGATTTTGAAAATAGCCAATTTGGTCATGCTCTTGACTAATTTATGCGCGTTTTGAAGATTTTATTCATAATACTGAAATTTCTACGCGACCTATAAATGCGTGGCAAACTGTTTTGCTCAAGAAAGTTGTTGCAATTAGAAGTGAGGCTAGCTTATCGGTCGTATTAATTTCGTACCACTAATATTTTCACACATGAACTTCGGTTTTGTCCAAAACTATATAATTTTTAATTTTTTTTTCTTTAACGATCATTTTTTTCCTTTGCCGATTTCTGACCAATTAAAGGGCAGTTCGAACACTCAGGGTTTTGGCTTGATATATGAGTAGTCTTGTTAAGTGTTAAATTCTGTTTGGCAACTATCAGGCCGATCAAACGCTTTTTATAACATTGCTCTGAAGAATAATTTAGAAAAAAAACTGCTCGTATCAGCGCAAAGCCCCGAACGTTCCGACCGCCCTTTTAAGTCTATGTAGTAGTGTTCACTTTAGAAAAAACATATCAAACTTTCAAAAAAATCAGAAAATGGTTTTTTTCCCAGATTTGGTTTGCAAAAATTATCACCCACATGTTATCAATTAGCATGCCTCATTAAATCAATTTGGAGCAATTTTTAAGGCGGATTGAATCTTTGTTTACACGTGAATAGCACAAAATAAATTATCTCGCATTGGTAAAATTGCAATCGTTAAACCCCCATAACAATAAGAAAAAAATAATTGAAGAAAATATCGTTTGAAGTTTGACCTCGAAATAACAATAATTTTCCACTGATATGAAAAATTCCTTCAAAAATGGCTAAATAGAAATCTATACTTGTCTGGAGAAAAAACACCCCGAGCACAAATATTCAGTCACTTTCTTCGAAAGTTGAAACAATAATAATTAGAATAAAGATTTTGACTCTCTGAGTTCAAGTCAAGAAATATGTTTCACGTGCATTATTTGTTCGTGCAGTTCTAACTGTTGAACGGTTGAAAAGTGACCAATTGCGAGGCCATTTAAAGGGCTTTCAGAACTTTTTGTTTTGCCCTGATATACCAGCATTTTGCTTAAGTTTTATTTTGTTTTAAGTTGATATCAGCCTTGAAATGTTTTATATAGTGTTGTTTTTTGAGTTTTTAAGTGATTTATCATGTGTCTGTAGATGATAACTTTGCAAGCAACTAAGCATACAGCTCTTCCATGTTTCGAGTTTGAGTTTCGATCATGTAAAAAAACTTTTTTGCTCAAAATTTTGAAACGGTATATTTGCTTTGAATGGATTTTTTATTGGAAACGAGTTGAACTTTAATAACTAAACCATTTTTTTACCGTCTTTTATAGATTTTTTACCACCTGAAATATAAACAGTATTTTTTTTTGAGTGAGGATATTTTGGTTTGAAATTAATCACTTTAGCCAATTTGGATTCTAGATGGGCGAAAACATCCAGTTTTCTATTAATGCTCAGAAATTGCAGCAAAATAAACCGGCTCAGAAATCCATGGACTATTTTGCAGCAATAAAATACTTATATAACATTCTGGTGATACATTTTTTTTGACCACTCTAAGGCTGGAAAGAAGAAACTTCAAGTATTGAGACTTACTTATTGACACATTTCCAATTTTCTTGTCATACACCATTTTTATTCAAATTCAAAAATGATCTCCATTTCAAGTGCCGTCCGTGATTAGCTTCCGATAGACTTAGTTGAGAGAAGTATGGAATAGGTCGTCAATAGAGCAAAAACGATGCTATATATAGACATTTCATTCAATACCCGTCTGAAGAATTCATTGCTTTTCGTGGTTGATGAAATACTGTCGCGATATTGACTGTTTTTCCGGACAATCTTTTGATTGCTATTGAATAAGATAGAAATTCTAACTTCTGCAGCTAATGAAAAAAGTCTACGCTTCGTTTCTTTGTTGGTAGCGCCAGGATTTCGAGGTTAAATTATTTCAGTTTTTTTTCAGATTTTAAACTCGAAAGTACGAAAATTGAAAGAAAAAACCCTAAGCTCTCCCCTTAAAGTTCAGCCTACAGCTTTACTGAAAGGTCATTATCAAAACCGTTCCAATTTTGAGTTTAATAGTTTCACATTTACACAAAAAATAATCGTTTGTTTTGTTTTGCTATTGCGTTAACTTGTGATCTATTTTCAGAGGTGGCGCTAACTTTCCCAAGGTGAGGTTCAAACCCACGCCACACATGAAATCTATCGCCAACGCCAATTCATCAGGTCTGTTGATGAAAATGCCTGTCAAAAGCACCCGGTTCGAGCCCCGACCTGCTCAGGTGCTGACTGGGTCTACCGAATCAATCAGCAGTGGAAGCAGGCGGGATAACGCTCACTCCTCTTACAACACCACTGGCTCACCTGCTTGTTTTCATCAGACAACTATGAAACGTAAGAGATCAAAACAGTTTAGTTCAGAACAAACGATTGTTTACCTCCCCGACAAAATAACTACTTCAAATCTATTCCTAAAAAACCTCAAAAGGAAACAAGACTGCTCGTATCAGGGCGAAGCCCTGATTGTTCCGACTGCCTTTTAAGGTCTATGGAGCATTAATAACATGAAAAATTTCAATGTAATAGAAAAAAATTTTAAAAAATTTTTGAAAAAATTTGAGATTTTATGTAAAACATCCCCCCACACGTCATATTAAGTACAAAGTGATAGATTTTGCGCCTATTAACAAATCAATTATGGCATAAAAGCATCCTTGAACCAATTTGGAATTATTTCTAAGACGGATTAAATTTCGCTGACGCGTTAATAGCGCGAAATTTATCGCGCGTTAATTGTCCCAAATTGGCCAAAATGGCAGTCTTTAAACCCCCATAACTTTATGAAAAATGATCCCAGGTTAAAAAAACGTTTCAAATTCAAGCTCAGGACAACAGTAGTTTTCGAATGATATAAAAAAAATTCCGTCAAAAATGGCTAGTCAAAAAGTCAAAATTTGTCTGAAGAAAAAAAACCCACCCCGAGCACAAATATTCCGTTACTTTCATATCGAAAGTCGGAACAAAAAAACCCACCCGAGGACAAATAATCCGTTACTTTCGTATCGAAAGTCGGAACAATGAGTTGTCTCCAATATCGGCGAAAACATAAAACGGTCTATTGGCCGCTAAATTGGCTGTTCTATAGTATTAATTTAAACCTGTTAAAACGTATTGGGAGCTTTTGGGAAGGAAAGGATGCTCCCCGTTCTTAAAAAAAGTTGTCTAACTCTTTGTAGTTGTTAAGAAACTGTCGATCAATGTTTAAATGTCGATCAATGTTTGTTGATCGACATTTAAGCCTTTCTTCATAAGCCTAATGCGCCTACTTATGATTGTTTTAAAGGAGGAGCGAGTGTTATCAACAATTTTTTTTTAAATTTCTCTAAAATCACTTTGAAATATTACAAACGCCCTCTTCTTTCTAAGTTTCCTTTCAATATAACATCTGAATGTACAAAATGCATTGCTTGCTTTGCCAATAATGTGAACCTAATCGGCTTTTTCAATTGCTCAAAAAAATAAAAGTTTGAAATGTCCATACAAATTCCTAAAAGTTTAGAAAATGGTATGATAAATAGCTCATAGGGTATCCGACAAACAAGGCGACAGCTCTTAAGATGACAACCACTTTTAGTGGGACATTAAGACAACGCGGCACGCAAATTCTCCAATTGTGTTTCTGAAAAATATTTTTCGCTTAAATTCGAATAATTCAATTTATATGTTTGAAATTTAATGTGTTCTTTCTTACCTACCCGCACTGACAATAATGGATTAGGATCGTCTTTAGTATAAAAAAGTATGCGTATTTAATTGAGATTGATTTTAGTATGAAAGAGAAGAAAGATTAAATAGAAAAGGTTAGGATTGATTTGGATCAATACCAAATCGCTTTGAATTGATCTTAAACTCCAGCTAAAAATTGATCTGAATCGATTTCAAATCATGTAAATCCATTGATTTCAATCTTGAATTGTTTGTGTTTTTAGAGGCCTTAAAACGGTTTTAAATAGATTTTTTATCCGAGCTCAGGTCAGACTCAACAAGACAATATTGAACACTCAACGTGCCCCTCGTCAATGGAGTTAGGGCACTAAATGAAATGACAAAATATTCAAAAAATAAGGCATCACACGCAAGGTCACTTTATACAAAATTTTGCTATAAAAACTTTACACATTACCTTTTAGAAACTTCAAACCAACTTCAAAATATATTTTTTTTCAGAATAACTTTTCCTTCACTCTTCTTTTTGCCGCAAATGCTTCTGTAAGAAATTAGCAAGAACTCGACCGATACCCCATGACGCTCATTGAAGTAATGCAATTTTTCCCCCACTTTGTCTATGTAGGCCCAACTGACCCTTGGTAGCTAATGAATTTATCGTCGTCATCACCATAAAACTTCAAACACCAGTGGTCCTGGCAACTTATAGGTAGCGTCAACCATTGGCCTTGTTTTCAGTTGCACAAATTAGCAACGTTGATCAAGGCTCGGATCACTTCTTGCACTTATACTCGACATACTCATCAAGTCGTTGAACCTCGTCGTTCAGTCGCCGATAAGTTATCCGCCCACTGAATTTTCACTACCAAGGATGGTGCGCTCAATCATATTATCATATGTTCTAAAATCTGGGCTTTCTCGCCAACTGGTGTCACTTCTGTTTGATCTGCAAAAAGTGAAATGAATACTAATCCCGACAAGATCAAATCTCATTCTCAGGATATTCCCGATTTTCTACCTTTCTGGAGACCCCACGATACAATTTTCAAATGTTGTGCTAACGTAATGTTGTCCGCATGGACCGACCACCAATGTCCTTCAAAAAAAAGTGCCGACGAGGTGTTTTTCAGTTTTTACGCGCGGATTGTTTCTACCAGGATGCAAAAACCCTTGCTGGACTTATCATTTAGGCCATACTTATCTTCCATATTAAACTCTTAGGTACGTGCGCTTCAATTGGTGATAATATAAAAACAATTATGCGAAGTCTTGTAACATTCGCCCGGAAGATACATATCGACGGAAAATAAAACTAAGTCCTAAGACGACTGGCTAACGTCTAAACAGAGCTTTATATGCTTTTCACCGTCTCTACCAAGCCAGTACTTTCGGTGGTCTTTTCTAACATCGGGTCGACAAAAAACGTTACTGCTTTCGGCTTCGGTCAAAACACTCAAATTAACTTAATTACATGCAGAAATAGTGAGCTCATGGCTGGGTCTCAGTATCCCCAGACCACGAGGTCACTCCTAAAAACAGGGCTACTACTATTTATTGAATTATTATTGTTTTTGTTCAGTAGATAAAAATCATCATCTCCATCGAAGATGGATCAACCCTTTCCCCCAACTCCTAGCTTCTCATCCTTATCGAAATGAATCCAGTTGTTAATTAAATTCAATTCAGGACATGACAGGAAGCTAAAAGTTTATATAAAAGGATAAAAGTTTCAGTCTCGAAACCCTTCCGGATTCTTGAATCCACTGAATCAAGCAACGTTAAACTTGATTCCTCCGTAACCCGGAAGGCTGTCTTCCACCCTTCACCGTTGTTCGCAACGGCCTTGCAACTATTGTAGCGACACAATAGTTGCAACTCGGAACGTTCTCTGTCAACTCCGTGATTCGTTGTCGTTTCTTAATCACAATTTCCGTTGTTCTCACAATCGCAACTAATGTTGTTCTGTTTCTTTTTAGCTCTTCCGCCAAAATGGCCGTTTCTGACGTTTCTCAGAAATGTTACGTCATCACTTCGAAAACTTAAAATTTCAAAATACTAGAATATCTTGACCTTCACCGTTCTACTAATCATCCGCATAACGTCGTTAATCCTTCAAAATCACTAACTCGGAAGGTTCGCAGCTAAAATTTCTTAATCTGCAGAGATTGCATTTTGTCCATTCTGGTCGAATGTCACATCTTCTCCACTGGTCTTCAAATTGTTGCGATGGGATCCAAAATCATCATGTTATCATTGCCACTGCGAATTTTTATCCTGGTTTTACTATTGTTTGCACCAGATTTTCCAAGTCAAAAATATTTTTTTCCTGGTCTCCTTCTATGGCCATTCATGACTTGGGCTCTCTCGACCCATATTCAACTCTTTTTACATCAAAACCGGTGCCTCTAAAAATCTTCTTTCCTTCCTTATTCGATGTGTGCTGGCTGACAATGTCAACTACTTTGAAATTAAATAGGTATTAAATTAATACTAAAAATGTTCACTTTTCATTTGTCCAATACGTTTTGAACAATTTTAGGCTATTATTAAAAAACAACTAAATTGCACCTTATATAATTACTGAATACTTAGTACTGATTAATGAGTACATCAGAGACGTCATGAATCGCGGGTTATCGTGAGACAAAATAACCTCATAATCTTTCTGAACTTGTAGCCGCTCTGCCACCTCGGTTAAAATGTCTCCTCCTTTTGGCAAGCCATCTTCCAGCGACAGGAGAGATGGTTTGATACGCATGGCTCAATTTCTGTTTTTAAGTTGCCTTTCGAGCAAAAAAGCCTATCTCGTTTTGCCGGTTCTGGTGCCATGTAATTTGCGTCTAAATTTTACAAAAAAATGTGTTAAGGGCATTTAATACCTATACTTTTTAAAATTACCTTTACACTTTTTCAACTATGCCTGACAATTATTTTTTGTTCTATATCTCAAGCACAAGACTTAAACTAAAGTCAAATTGTTCATTACCAAAATATTAACCTTTTGGAAAAATGTCCTCGTTGTCTGTTCTATAAAACTTCTGCTTTTTTAATTGTTCGATATTGCTTCAAATTATGAGCCTGGAAAGATCTATTAGAAACAATTGTGCAAAAATTAAGCAATTAGTAACGAACTTTGCATTGAATGTAAGCTATCGAAGAAAATACTCGGACAGCAAGGCAAACTAGATTTCTAGGAAAATAGACAGAGCTAATTTTATGTGGGCTAAAAACTCATCTAATTTATGTGGACTAACTTTTGCAACTTTTTTGCCAGAGAGAATCATTTGAATTTCGAAACACGTTTGCTTAGGCAAAACCACAGGCTCAAAATTCAGGTTTTTAAAAAAAGATAAACCAAAAAACCTTAAGTTAATGTCAAGATTTCTTTCAGAAAAAGCAACAGAATTTACGGGTAGATTTGAACCCTCTTACATATTACCTTTTAGAAACTTCAAACCAATTTCAAATATTTACGTCAAAAATTTCTTTAAAACAAGCAACAGATTAACGGGTTGTTTTGTACTACTCTCTTGTGTTGGGCAGGAATGTTCAAACTTTCCGTATCATCAGAAAAACAACTAGTTATTGTCAAGGAATCCCAGGCTTATAAACACCCGTTTTTTAAACCCCTTTCTTTTAACCCCACAGCTAGATAACCTCACTAAAAT